CAGCCTGTCTCGACAGCTCAACTCATCTAGCTGTGCCCATTTCATTCCAGCTTCCCGGAAGAACTGTGTCGGTGACGTTGATTATTGATTCAGGGGCCTGAAGCTGCTTCATAGATCTAAATTTTGCAGCCCATCAGCATATTCCTTTACAGACCAATGAACACGGATTGAACATCTTCCTGGCCGATGGGTCCCGTATTAAATCCGGACTGATAGACAGAGAGACCCCACCAATCTGCACTACGGTTGCCAACCACCATCAGGAGTTTCTGCGTTTGGACGCCATCGCTTCTCCATTATTTCCTGTCATTTTGGGACTCACTTAGCTACAGGCGCATGACCCTCAAATCGACTGGAAGACGGGGTCAATCCAATTCCTTTCATCTTATTGTCGGGAACATCGTTTACCCATGACACCCTCGGTCACACCGACCCTACTCTGCATGGACTCTGACGCAGAACTGTCTCAAGTAATCCCCCCAGTTTACCATGGCTACCTTGATGTGTTCAGTAAGCGGGGAGCAGACAGACATTCTCCCTCCTCATCGAGCCTATGACTGCCAGATTGATCTACTTCCTGGATCTGAAATCTCATTCGGGCGAATCTTCCCTTTATCGGAGCGGGAATTAGAGGTGTTAAAAGATTACTTTGACAAGAACCTCCAAAAGGAATTCATCCGTCCCTCCACTTCACCAGCTGGAGCCGGAATTTTCTTTGTGGAAAATAAGGATAAGTCCTTGAGGCCTTGCGTGGACTATCGAGAACTGAATAAAATCACTGTAAAGAACCGTTATCCCCTTCCTCTGGTTCCTGAACTGTTTCAGAGACTGAAAACTGCCACTATTTTTGCTAAATTGGATCTGAGAGGGGCATATAACTTGGTCTGCATACGAGAAGGGGATGAGTGGAATGTCTTCGGTTCGGTCATTTCGAGTATTTGGTCATGCCATTTGGGTTGTGCAACGCACCTGCCACGTTCCAGCATTTTATTAATGATGTTTTCAAAGATTACTTGGATATTTTTGTTGTCATCTACCTGGATGACATTCTGACTTTTTCCACATCCCTGGAGGTACACCGAGGTCATGTCAGGAGCGTGTTGGAGCGACTTCGCCAGCACGGGCTTTACGCTAAGGCAGAGAAATGTAGTTTCGAGCAGCATAGCATTCCATTCCTGGGGTTGATTATCTCTACTGCAGGAATTGCCATGGATCCCCAGAAGATTTCCGCAATTTTGGAATGGCCGGTACCCTCAGACAAGAAAGGTATTCAGCGGTTCATCGGCTTTGCTAATTTTTATCGAAAATTTATTAAGTACTTTTCAGGCCTCGTTTCACCTATTACCCAGCTCATGAAGCTAGGGGTTCGCTTCCATTGGACCCCTGAGGCGCAGGTTGCTTTTGAGACCCTGAAAGAATTGTTCACAGCAGCACCCATCTTAAGTCATCCAGACTCTTCTCTCCCTTATATTCTGGAGGTGAATGCATCTGAAAACGCAGTGGGGGCGGTCCTTTCACAAAGGAAAGGCCTCAAGGAGCTTATGCATCCAGTGGCCTTCTTTTCCAGAAAAATTACTCCGGCAGAAAGGAACTATGACGGAGACCGAGAACTCTTGGCAATAAAGACAGCATTGGAAGAATGGAGGTACTTGCTGGAGGGGGCCATGCATCCAATCTTGATATATAGACCATAAGAATCTTGAATATGTAAGAACAGCTAAACGCCTTAAACCACGCCAGGCAGATGGGCACTGTTTTTCTCCAGGTTTGTTTTTCACATAACTTACAGGCCAGGGTCTAAAAACACGAAACCAGATGCGCTCTCACGCATGTTCGAGGATTCAAGGAATCTCCGAAGCCAGACACCATCCTGCCAGCAGGGAATTTCTTGTTGTTACAATCCGAACTCTTGTCTAAATTACCAACAGCGTCTGTAGGAACACCCAGTCCACCCAGAGTCACGGTACAGAGCAGAGAGGGGCTCTTATGGAAAGCGGAGCAAATCTTGGTACCCGAGGAAGCACAAACGCTTGTCCTGGGTTACTGCCACGATCACCCGTTGGCAGGTCACTTTGGGGTTTCCCAAACATTGGAGCTGACACAGCCATATTCGGCCACCAGAACATGCGTTAAGGACTGCAAGGCATACGTGAGGACTTGCACCATCTGCAATCCAAATAAGTCCACCCAAAACAAGGCTTGGGGTTTACTATGACCCCTGCCAGTACCTGATAGGCCTTGGATAATGATAACTATAGACTTTATAGTAGAACTTCCACTTTTTTCATACTGCTATTTTCGTGGTGGTGGATCGTCTATCAAAAATGGTCCACTTCCTGCCATTAAAGAATACACCTGCTACTCCTGAGACTGCACAGATCTTTATTAAGGAAATTGTAAGGCTCCATGGAGTTCCTAAAGATATTGTTTCTGACCGAGGGGTACAATTCACCTTGAGGTTCTGGAAGGCACTATGCGAAACATTGGAAGTCAAGTTGTCCTTTTCTTCTGCGTACCATCCGCAAACAAACGGACAAACCGAACGGACCAACCAAACCTTAGAACAATACCTCAGATGTTACACATCTTTTCTCCAGGATGACTGGGTGGCACTCTTGCCCTTGGCAGAGTTTGCCTACAATAATGCAAGTCATTCCGCCACTAAGCAATCTCCATTTTTTGCCAACTACGGGTTCCATCCTACCTTCCTACCTGACCTGATCCCGGAGATCTTGGTTCCCGCTGCTCAGGATACACTGAATTTTTTTGCATCTAACAACAAAGTGTTACAGGAGGCAGTTGTGAAGGCCCAGGAAGACAACAAGAGGGCCTTTGACAGAAGAAGAAGGGGAAAAATTGATCCTGCACCCAGGAGACCAAGTCTGGCTGGCTACAACCAACCTGAAGATGGCATGTCCGTCAAGGAAATTGGCACCCAAGTTTGTGGGCCCCTTCCGGGTAAGACGCAAAATTAATATTGTTGCTTACGAATTAGCGCTCCCAGAGTCCTTCAAAATACACCCAATCTTTCACGTGTCCCTACTGAAGCCTGCAGCACCAGATCCTTTTCCTGATCGTAGGTCAAGACCCCCGGAGGCCATAGATATTGATGGGGAAGAGGAATTTGAGGTCGAGTCAGTCGTAGACTGCAGGAAAAGGAGGGGTCAGACGCAGTACCTCATTAAGTGGAAGGGTTATGGTCCAGAAGAAAATTCTTGGAAACCAGCTCAGAATGTCCATGCTACAAGGCTAATTCAGGAATTTTTTCGTAACTATCCACAAAAGAGGAGTCAGTTGGGCATCCGGAGGCTGCCCATAAGGGGGGGGCAATGTCAGGGATTGAGAGCTTCGCCGCGGCGCACAGATCTGCGCATGCGCGGAATCCCAATGCGGACAAGCATGCGTGAGCTAGGACATGGGCGCCCACGGCAACATTCACGGACGCACATGCGCACTCGCGCACACGGGTGCACGCCTGGCACCAATGACAGCGCAGAGCAGGCTATTTAAACTGGCCATTGCAATGTCCAAGTTGCCATATGGTCTTTATCCTCTGCGTGTGTTCTGATCCTGTGTGTGTACCTTTGTTGCCGAACCCAGCCTGCTCCTGATTTCTGCTGACCATCTCCTGCCCTGACCCCTGGCTTGCCTCTGGACCACTCTTCTGCCTGCTCCTGATCGTCTGACCTCCTGTTGCTGAACTTGGACTGTGACCCGACTATCCTTTGCCTGCTGCTCTGATTCCGTTCTGCCTCCACAGTTACGGCCTGTCTGACTCCACTACTTGCTTCACGGTGTGTCCGCATCCATCCATCCTGCACGGATCTATCCGTTTACCGCTCAGGTCTTCCCTGCCTCTTCACATCAGGCTCTTACCCAGCTACGTTCCACTAGCGGTCCTCTCTACTACAGTTGGGTGTACCCGGGGGCCACGACCTGGTCTCAGCCTGCTCCAAGTCCATCCCCACCATCAGGGGCTCTGGTGAACAAGCAGACTGGGGCTTAGACTCCGCGCCCCTGGGGAATCCCAGACTGTGGACCCATAGAGCTACCGTTAGAGAGTTTGTGACAAGTAGCAAGGTCAAAAGAGGAAAGTGTTGAGGGAGGTTTAGTATAAGGTATGCTAAGTGGGATGGATGTCTGTGCAGTGGCTATGGCCCTACGAATTGTGTCAATCTTGTTTTTGAAATGATTTGCAATCTCGTGAGCAGTGAGTGAGGTACTGGGTGGAGGTGGAGAAAGTAGAGAGTTAAAAGTAGAGAAGAGACGATGAGGACTGGATGACAAGGTGTTAATAAGAGTGACAAAGTAGGCTTGTTTGGCAGCATGAAGAGAGGAATTGTATGTTGAGAAAGCAGATTTATATAGGGTGAATGCTTGCTGGGATTTGGTTTTACACCACAATCGCTTCAGCGCACGACTATGTCGTTTAAGATTTCTGGTGTCGTCAGTCTGCCAAGGTTGTAACATTCGGGGCCCGATGCTTTGTGTTGTTAGAGGAGCAAGTGAGTCTAATGCAGATGAAAGCGAACTGTTGTAGACAGCAGTGGCCAGGTTGGGGCAGGACAGGGGAGAGATTCTGTCACAGAGTTGGTCAGTTGCAGAGTGGAAAGGAGCAGGGTTCAAGTTGTGAAGGTTTCTGTGGGTAATTGTTTGCCGCTTGGAGGGATAGGTGTTTGAAGACGAGGACACTGTGAAGGTGATTGTCAGGGCAGGAGCTGGGAAATGGACAGGCAGGCCTAATATCAATGTAACGCACAGGCTGACGACAACCACCACCCACAGACCGAAGTCCCTCAGGGCGCGGAGTCTAAGTCCCAGGCTGCCCTTCACCAGGGCCCCTGGAGCCAGGAACCAGGTCGCGGCCCCCGAGGCACCCCAGCTGCAGTAATGGCCGCCGCCAATGGTGTGTAGCTAGTGGTAAAGACAATAGAGTAGTCAGACAGACCGGGTCAACAACAACGAGACAAAAATGGTACAGGACAGCAGACGAGAATCACAGGTCACGAGCCGAGTTCAGCAACGGAGGGTCAGATCAAAGGAGAACACAAAGAATGGTCAGGTCACAAGCCGAGTCAGATTCCAGGAAAGTCACGAGAGTCAGAACAGAGTAACAGCAACACAAAGACACAAGACACAAGTGCAAAGAACATGTGCGGAACACAGGCTTATATGTCATCAGCCACACCCCTCTGGGGGATGGACCTCAGAGACCTGAAGGCATAAAAGATTCCCACCATGCTCTGCAGAAATCCAAGATGGATGCCAGCACATGGAGTAACATAACCTCTGGTAAAAAGGTAGGACCTTGACAGTGATGAGATTGTGATCAGAAAGAGGAAAGGGGGTGTTGTGTGAGGTTGTAGGGATTGCAAAGATGGGAGAAAACAAGGTCTAATGTATTCCCATCAGAGTGAGTGGAGGACCGTATACATTGTGCTAATGCAAAAGATGAGGTTAAGTTGAAGAGATGGGATGTAGCTGGGTTGTTGACATTAATAGGGATGTTAAAATCTCTGAGAATGATAGTGGGTAGTTCAGAGAAGAGAAAGTAGGGTAGCCAGGCGGAGAAATCATCAAGAAAGCAGGACACCGGTCCAGGAGGCCGATAGATCACTGCAATCCTCAGAGAAATGGGAGAAAACAGCCGGATGCAGTGAGTCTCGAAAGAAGAGAAGGATAGAGAGGGAAGGTTAGGGAGGACTTGAAAGGTGCTCAGTGGGGATAGAAGCAAACCAACCCTACCACCTTTCTGACCACTGGGTCTGGGTGAGTGGGTCCAGATGAGGCCTCCATAGGAAAGTGCTGCGGGAGAAGCAGAATCTGCTGCTTGGAGCCAGGGTTCTGTAATAGCTAATAGGTTAAGGGAGCAGGAGACAAAAAGGTCATGGACAGAGGTGAGCTTATTACAGACAGAGCAGGCATTCCAGAGAGCACATGAAAAAGGAAGGTGGTTTTTGGGAGCTCGGGGACTGATGTTAAATTGAGGGGATTGCAGCTATTCCCGGAAGAAAGAGGATGCCTGGTGTGGGTGTAAAATAGTGGAGGACCAGGGTTTGGGGAGATATCCCCAGAGGTTAGGAGAAGAAGAAGGGTGAGGAAAGTAACATGGTAGCGGAATGTACACAAGTGCACGTGCCTTCCAGTCCTGAAGAAGTGAGATTTTGGGAACGCAGGAAAGTAATATGAAAAGGAGGAGTAGAGGGACATATTAAAAAGGTACACGGAGTGGGACTCAGACTTGTAAGAGATGTTTCCCAGGGTGTTTGCTTGCAGTCCGTCCAGCATGCAGTAGATTTTCTTGTTGTATCTTCCTGCTGCTTGAGTTATCCTGCTTTAGTTAAACTGCTGTGTTTAACTGCGTCTTAGCACTCCATCTGTGACTGTGCCCCCCATTAGTGATCTCCCCCCATGAGCTGATCTAAATTTATAGGGAGATGGTCAAATGAGCACTCTTCTCTGCCCCAATCAGGAACTGATAAGGATCACATGAATAGGAGGGGATGTTTCTCAAACAGACCAGACACAGACTACAAATCATAAAAAAGAGTGCAAATAGAGGTGAGAACTAATCAACATAGACAAAAATATATATACACTATTAGTTTTGAAATTAACAGGAGTCTATGCGTTGTTGTAGTTAAGAGTGGAGTGGAGTGGAGAGGAGATAGCAGCATTACCTGTGAAAAGCAGAAAAGGCATGAATTAGACTGTTGTGTTTAACTGCGTCTTAGCATTCCATCAACGCAGCACTCACACAAAAGCAGCACCCCATCTGTGACTGTGCCCCCCATCTTTATGGATCTTGCTTTGTACACTGGTGCACAGTCATGTTGGAACAGGAAAGGGCTATGCACAAACTGTCCCCACAAAGTTGGGAGCATGAAATGGTCTAAAATGTCTTGGTATGTTGATGCCTTAAGAGTTTCTATCACTGGAACTAAGGGGCCAAGCCCAACCCCTGAAAACCAACCTCACACCATAATCCCCCTTCCACCAAACTTTACACTTGGCACAATGTAGTCAGGCAAGTACCATTCTCCTGGCAACTGCAAAACCCAGACACGTTCATCAGATTGCCAGACAGAAGCATGATTTGTCACGCCAGAGAACACATCTCCACTGCTCTAGAGTCCAGTGCAGCGTGTTTTACACCACTGCATCCAACGCTTTGCATTGCACTTGGTGATCTAAGGCTTGGATGCAGCTCCTTGGCCATGGAAACCTATTCCATGAAGCTCTCTACGCACTGTTGTGCCAATCTGAATGCCGCACGAAGTTTGAAGGTCTTTAGCTATTGACTGTGCAGACAGGTGGCGACTTCTGCGCTTCAACATGCACTGACTCTGCTCTGTCATTTTATGTGGCCTACCACTTCATGGCTGAGTTTGCTATCATTTGCCACTTTGCTATAATACCACTAACAGTTGACCGTGGAATATATAGTAGCAAGGAAATTTCACGGATGGACTGAACAGGTTGCAACCTATTAAGGTACCACGCTTGAATTCACTGAGCTCCTGAGAATGACCCATTCTTTCACAAATGTTTGTAGAAGCAGTCTGCATGCGTAGGTGTTTGATTTTATACACCTGTGGCCTTGGAGGTGATTGGAACACCTGAATCCAATGATTTGGAGGGGTGTCCCAATACTTTTGGCAGTATACAGTAGTGTATGATCCCAGCCTGATTCCTCATGTTGTTGGAAACCAGTAAGTGTTGCAGTATTCAATTCTAACTGCAGTTTCTTGATTTTTGTAGAGACTCTTGACCAAATTAGTTATGTGTTTAGATATTCCCATTTGCAACAGAGTCCTCCACAATTTGTCATGAGCCACACAATCAAGCGCTTTACTGTATTCAATGAAGCAAAAGTATGCAGTCTTTTGGCATTCTTTGCACTTCTTTAATATCCATCTAACATTGGCAATAATGTCTCTTGTTCCTCGGCCTTCTCTGTAACCAGCATGAGCTTCAGGTAGTTATTACTCAATGTACGATTGTATCCTTCATTGGTTTATTTTCAGCAATACTTTGCTGGTATTTGGAATTAATGCAGTTGTTCTGCAGTTGTTGCAATCTTTGGCATCACATTTCTTTAGTGTAGAAATGAACAGTGATCTTCTCCAGTTGGTTGGCCCTTCCAAATCCATTGACACAGTTGAGTAATGACCATGATAACACTTTCGGAGCCTCTGATTAACCCAGTTGGGATACAGTTTATACCTGGTAACTTATTGTTTGATAAATATTTAATTGCTGGTATGACTTCTTCCTTTATGATATCTGGTTCATCTTCTGCATCACTTTCTGGTTAAGTTTTTACAATGTAATCCACACTGCTTTTCTTATATACATTTTCAGTATAATCTTTAAATCTCCTTTTAAATTACTCTGGATCATTAAGTATCAATCTGTGAGTCTTAACCGCTTCAGCTCCAGAAGGTTTTGCCCCCTTAATGACCAGATAATTTTTTTGCCATTTAGCACTGCGATACTTTACCTGTTAATTGTGCAGGCATGCAACATTGTACTCAGATGATATTTATATCATTTTTTCCATACATATGGAGCTTTCTTTTGGTGGTATTTGATCACCACTGGGTTTTTCATTATATAAGCGAAAAAAACCTGAGAATTTTGAAAAAAGACAAATTTTTATTTTTTTAACTGCTATAAAACATATCCAATAAAACATTTTTAAAATCAAAATTTATTTATAAAATGTAGACCAAAAATGTATTCTGCTGCATGTCTTTGGTAAAAATAACTGAAACTTTTTTTTTTATACTACTAATGGCGGTGATCAGCGACTTATAGTGGGACTGTGATAGTGCGACTGGCACTGAATGGGAACAGACTGACACCACCAGTGACCCAAATACAGTGATCAGTGATAATACTATACACTGTATTAATGACACTGGCTGGTAAGGGGTTAACATCTTGGGGGTAATCAAGGGGTTAAGTATGTGCCTAACAAGTTTTAATGTGTGTATCATGTGCTGTGATTTACTAAAAAAGTCTTTGTTTCTTCTCCAAAGAGATTGTTCCCTCTGTGCAGATCGTCAACACAGGGCTCTCGGCTGTGATTGGACACAGACAATCAGCAGGTCCCAGCTATTAATAAATGGCCTGGACCTGCTGACAAAATCCTGCTGTGTCTTATCACAATGGGAATCAAGAAACATATGTCGTTATGCCTGTACGGGCTGCCTGTCCGCAGTACCTTGTGGACGGGCGGTTCTGAAGTGATTAAGCATCCCCGATCTAGGTTGGAATTTCTGCTGCAATCTCTTAATATCCTGAAAATCTAGTCTGGTTTTTCCTTTTTTACGTGCTCAAAGTCAATGTTCTTACAAATATCCTTGAGATATCGTTCTTTATCTTTTCAAACTTGGCATTGAAACGCACAGTTCATTTGTGATACTTTCACTCTATCACCAGAAATTTTGGCTTGCCTTTTTTATCCTGTCACTTTATCTTCTTCTGAAATCCAAGATGACTTCTTAGCTTTTTTACTCATCTGTAATGTTTTTTTCAGCTGCTTCATTAATTATGGTTTTGATGTAATTTCATACCTCTTTGGGCTCTTTATCTCCTGTATCAAGAACAGCAAATCTGTCTAGTTTAATGCAGCAATCTTGTGAATTATTTTTAATGTCATATATTGGAGTGCCTCTAATCTTTTTCTGAAGCTTTACTTGATCTTGCATATCAAAAGCACATGGCCACTTCCACAATCAGCTCCAGGTTTAGTCCTTGCTGTCAAAACTGCAGATTTCCATCTCTTTCCTATGCAGATGTAGTCTGTAGTATGATGTCTGCCAGTTGGAGAGGTCTATGTGTATAGCCGACGCTTGTGCTGAAAATGTGTATTCATAATGAACAGCTGATTCATTTTGTAAAACTGTACAAACTTGTCACTGGCTTCATTTCTTTCTTCTAGATCGTACTTTCGAACCACTGCATTTTCAGATACACATCCTACTTTTGCATTGAAGTCTCCCAGGATAATCAGTAGATCTTGAATCT